ATAATTCTGCGCGTGGCATATCTGCGCATGCTACTGTGATACCTACATGTCCTCCCTACCTTCCCTATGGTCTTTCAGCATATGTGCCCTCTATCGACATGGAATAGAATTTTATTTTTCGCCCTAAATGTGTTCCTAAATCTCTGTTCTACACCTCACCTTAGCAAGCCCATTGCCCGTACTTCTCTTCCCTGCTGAAGCTTAGCTTCAGAAGTTGCAATTGTGGCTGCACATCACAAGGGAGTGAGGAAGAGGTGTGCTAGTCGTGAAAGCCAAACTGTGCTCACTGTATAGCAACCAGTTGGTTGTGATACCACCCTGGTGACTGTTTATCCCACCCTTTGGCTACTGTATTTCTGATGCAGAAATAGGTGCACAAGTTGCATCATGCAAGTACAGTAAGCCTCATACTTTTAGGACTTAACTGGAAATGCTCAGAGCAATTGTGTGGCAAGTTCATGCAACACTTTGTAGGAGTGGTAGAGTACTCTCTTGGTTTTGCTGGAATTGCTTTGCACATGCTATACGGGCCTAGCGTGTTTGCTCTGAGGATCTCTTTGGGATCCGTGGACATGGGACATCCAAGGTGAGGCTGCCGCACATATGCAGTAACACGCAACCTGATGAGATTATTAGATACCAACAATCCCAGATATACAGGCAGTTCTCAAAATCTTACTGGAGAACATTTCTGGTTGGAAAAGAGGACAGACGACCAAACCAAGGCAACCTGGACTTATGGTAGCCGTATCTAACCACGTCTACAGGCCTCCCTTCTACTGTAACGCCTTCATACCCCCATAGAAAGTTCTCTTTTACCTGCAAATTCTCTTTATCAAAAAGCTGAGAGAGATCCTGCTGTATGGTTACATGGAAAGCAGTTGCCAGCCAGGAATCCTCAGTGTATCACCATTCTGAGCTTTACAGTCAGCAGCGCTCAACCCAGCACGTGTTGTTGGGCTGTTGAAAGATGGCATTGCCTCTGGTCATGATCTGCTGCGTGCTCGACAACGTGCTGATCATGGGCCAAGGTGAGAGCAGTGAGGCAGGTCAAACTAGTTTCTTTCACCCACGCAGCACACTGGGCCGAAGGAATTGCTTGGTCGGCTGTGTGCTACACGGGCCTGACACAGAGGTTTGGGGAGAGTCTGGTTTGTCTTCTCCTAGCTGCTTCCTAACCTGTAAGTGCATAATGGTGATGGGTTATTTTGAGGCTTAGAGCTCCGATAGGCGGTCTCTGGCAGAGTTATCTGTTCAGTTTAAGCCATTACCACTCTCAACTGTCTGCTTTACCCTGCTGCTAGGTATTACCACACTCTTACGGTGGAGATCCAGGTCACAGGCTGGCATATTAAAAAACTACCAACTTTCATTGTTGTGCTCTAGCAGAATGATCATGACCTCAGGCAGTTGGGAGAAATAACATCTTAAAACAAGGCAGCGAAATCTGCCAGAGCTGCTTGTTCAGAGCCTTTGGTTCTTAATCAGGAGTGGAAAGAGTCCTTGCCTGCGCCTGCAGGCCTGAGGCCAACCATTCCTGCCTTCACTGCCACTGCAGGTCCTCTGCCACCCCAGAAGACCCCTCCTTGTCCCCTGCTTGTCCATATGGAGGACTGTCATCACGGTTGTTACAACTTAAGAGGGCAAGGAGCATGTATAAAGAAACTTCAAAGTCAGTGATATTGGGTTAAGCAAAAAGTGAGGACTGTTCATTGGAAGGTGAATTATTGAAGAAAAACTTAGAACTTTTCGAGTATATGTGATCTTGAAAGTGGTTTATGATCCCACCATGCAGTTCTTAGGCTTTAGAGGCTGTTCTGTTTCACTAAAAACTGTAGACATAATAGAAAATTGGTTGAAATCTTCCTTTATATGAGGAATAAAATGATATGACGTGAGAGTAAAATATGAGGTTTTTATCCCAATTTCACTAAGAAATTGCGTCGATACGATATTGCTGTCTTTATGTGTCCATCTGTTTGTTTCCGGAATGGAAGAAGATGGGAAGCAGGAATGGGATCTCCTCCTTCACTCAGCTGAGAACGTCATGTGGAATTTTGTTAGCAAAAATTCAGTTTGAAAGCCGGTCCGCCATAAGACACAAGTCCATAGGAAGTCAAACTTCAGTAGTTCTGATGTTTACACAAACGCTTACCCGGCGATTGATCTATGTTCAGCAGCGGATTAAGCCGAGATGGCTCGAAACAGTTACAGATGCTGGCGGTGCGCCCTGCCCACCTCCTACGGGTTACCATTTCTACAGCAGGGATGGCTCAATGCCTCATTAATCGGTACCCGAGTTTCTGCATTTCGCAGATCGGCATATCAAGGGAAGCCATCATCGGTTTCTGTTCGGGCTTACGCCATAGCATTCCTGCCGTGGGAGACATCTTGCAAGAGAGATTAGCGTACACGGTTGGGGTAGACGATTTATCAGCCGCAGCTTAATCTTGTGCGAGATACATAAATACCTTCAACATTATGTTGAGAGAGGAGCAATTTTAAATTATTGATCTGAAAGATTAGGAATCCTTAACGGAAATGGAAAGCTGAGGTGGTTTAGGATATGCGTATGGTAGTAGAAGCATGCCAAGAGGAACGGAGTCCTGGCTGTCACGCTTTCTAGTTGGTAAAAACCAAGTCCGTTCATCATCATCATATTTAGTTTTGTCAACGTAATTTTGCTTCTCTTTGATTTTTACATACAACAGTTCGAAAATGTAAAATGAAAAATAATTTGACAAAACCCACAGCCTTTAATTTCACAAATAGCAAGCATCAGCAATACCTGTTCCCCGTATGACGGGTGCGTTTACCTCTGACCCTGTGCTGTCCACTGCTATCAAGGGACGCGTGAACGGATTCCTAGGGCAGGAACAGGAACCTCGGCATCGTTCCCGTGATGTATTTTAGGCAAGGGGGCTACACAAACGACAGGCGTCGCGACTAAAGCCTTGTGGGAAGGGGAGATGCTATACCCAACGGGAGTTTTTCCTCCCCCAACGCGTAAGCCGTTCTCAGCCGCGTGCATTTAGCGGGATTCGGGGACTTCGGAGCCCCTCGTGGTGTCCGTGCACCGGCTCTGGCAGCTCGCAGAGGCGGCGAGCGGGCTCCGAGGCTCGCGATGGC